TAAGCCCACAGTCCAGTTTAACAAGCCGTACAGTTGTTCACAAGGCACAGTCAAGCTTAACCTGTCAGAGTGGCTAAAGTGCTGACCAACACCAGCTGTTGTGGTTAAGACAATGAGGTTCATCACACACACATACACAGAAAAAAACATGTGATGGGTGTGTTTAAGGACTTGAATTAATCATCTTCACAGTTATATATCAAAATCTGTTTTCTGTTTCCCCTCCCCAAATATCTCTTTACATAAAACTGAAGTGAAAGAAGAAAAAAACCTAAATGACAGAAACAGAGGCTGGAAGTTATGAAACAATATGCCAGTGGTGAGAGCATAAGCCAAATATCTAATACAAATAATATAAGCTAACATCCAATACAGATACGCCAAACAATGAATCTGTCTAACTAGTACATGACAGTGTCCATTCAGCTATGATGAAGACTGCATCCCTTAGCACAAGTAAGAGCTAAACCATTGCACTTACCAGAGACAGCTGGGACTTAGATTTAGACAAGGAGTAACACTGCTTCCCTTCAAACCCTGGTACTTTCTTCATAAGACTACACTGAACTGTCTGCTGCAAGACACTGAGAATCTATCCTTTAGTACCCAGCAGAGAAGGACAAGACGAGGGTACCAGGAGATGGACTTAGACCTGAGATGGCATTTGCACCCCCTCAGCTAGCAATATACAGCCTAGAGAGAGAGGAAGGGTGGTCTATTCATTTTCCAAAAATCTTGCTTTCTAAGTCTGAATGTCAAAGTTTCACTTTCAATGACACATTCTGCCATCATCACTAACTGACATAAAACATGTTGACCTTCAGTGGCAGTCCCAGGCTGTTTGCAGGTCAGGCTTGAGGTGGTAGATCCAGGAACTTGTCTTGAAGGTAAATTGCATTTATGAGCATGCTTCCAATGATCTGGTTATTTAAGGTGAGATTCCAAAAACTTGTAATCACTAGGACCTGAAGTAGGATCCTAGCTTCCTCCCGGCTACTGCCATTAGTGACAGCCATCACCCAAGTAAGCATTCCTACTAGCTTATATTTGAATTCAGTCCAAATCATAGGCTCTGCATCTCTGAGACAGTTTCTTCTTCTCTACTGTAGTGTCATTGCTACTTTTCTATTGCTGTGGTAAGACACCGTGACCAAAGCAACTTATAAAAGACAGCATTTAATTTTGCTTATGGCTTCAGGAGGCTAGGGTCCATGACGATGGAGTGAAGGAAGAACTGCGAGCTCATTATTTTGAGTCCCAATCATGAGACAGAGAGAGACCCCAGGTATGGCATAAGTATTTTTAAACCTCAAAACTCACTCCCAATGACATACCTCCTCCAACAAGGCCACCTCTCCTCCAATAAGGCCATACCTCCTAATCTTTTCCCAAACAGTTCCACTGACTGAAGACAAAGTGTTCAACTAAATGAGCCCATCGGTACCATTCTCCTTCAAAGCACCGCAAATGGGCAACATCTTTTAGGTTGGTTGTAAGCTTAAAGCAGAAATATGTTCCCACCTGAATGAGAATTCATGCGACACGCTTAGGAAAAACAAAGGAAAGGCTCTTCAGTAATAGCACCATCTGGCTCTGGCTAATGTCTAAGGGAACCAGCTTTCAATGGAAGATTTCAAAGATCTCGATAACTAATATCCACCTTAGGCTTACAATTCTACATATTCAAGTCTGGCCACTCAGGCAGATAGGAAATTTACATAATTAAAGTATAGCCACAACAGTTTTTAAGTGTGTCAGTGCTGTTCTTTTTCAAATAGTTGCTATCCAGGTTCATCTTGCCTACTTACTTGGAAGAATTATGATTTTCCTAAGAAGAGAACCAGGAGCTTTATAGCAGCCAGAACTTAGCAAAGGTTGCCACCCTGCCCTGCCCCCTTGAATTGCTTACCACAGACACGTTTTCTGATAGAAAAACAGGTCAAACGACTGTGAGTCAAGCTGTCTCCTTCTGTTAGGAGAATGGAACCTAACGGCTGGTCAATCCTGATAAGCATGCACAACCCAGCAGCCTAAATATTACTTATCTCTAACAGGCCTGGTTAGCACACTCATTGTCTTTGGGGTATGTCAAAGGCAGTGCTTCTTGAACTAAATCCTACTTTGTGTGACTTAATGTCTTCTATACAAATCTATTAGGAAATCATCTATGACATCAATTCTATATTTTAAGTTTCTTCTACATTGGGGTCATGCCTGACAGTATGAGGATATTTGTTATTGTAACAGGAAGCCTGGGAAAGACCAAAACATACAAACTTTTGAAACTTTTCTGAAAAGTTCCCTATTCATAAATGCATGAACTCTTGCTAATTTTGGGAATGGATAATAGATTCTGACTTTATAGTACACTGTCCTTCTGATCTAAGAAGAACTATTTGAATGAACACATTATACATCTACCAAGCAGGTGTTGACTCTTGTCCTGGAGGTAGCGTGTGTGTGTTTGCCTCCTCCTATTTGGAAAGAGCAAGGAAAGCTTGGGGGAAAGTGGAATTAAGCAGTTTCATTTTGAGTATCCACTTTATTTGAATATGTCTGAGAAAACATGTGAATTGCCAAATGCAAGGAACAACAAAAGCACTGTGAAGAGGATACGTGGATTTGGTTGTGCAGCTAATAAGGTCATGAGGTCATACATAACATAACACTCCCCTCTTTCTGGCAGGTGGTGGAAAACAGAGCAGGATTAGAGCTGACACTCAAACTGTCAGCAAGCATGAAGCATCATGAAGAGCCCCAGGACTTCCAGACAACTTGTCACATTAGGCTTATTGCCATTGCAACTTAGATCTTATTTGATAATAAGGGCTGGTAACCATATTTCACGGCTCTGGATTCCAAAGGGAAAGAAATAATAGAGCAACCAAATCATCCTAAAGGATTTTGGGTGTTGACAGTTCCTGGACATCATCTCCTCCTTCTCAGCAAATAAGACCCTCAGGTCCTCAGGTGAGAACCTGCAACCATGTATGTTTCCCTGAAGTTGAAAACTATGTGAGTATAAGGCGCATTTTCCTCTAGGTCACAGACACTGTGAATCAACAAGTTTTAGGTTTCGTGGGGACAAATACTCCAATTTTTTAAATAGGAATATTTTAAATTCATCTATAGTTTCTTCCACTATTTGAAATTTAAAATGTGTATTTTTTTAAGTGGCATTATCTACAGGGTAACCCGATACTGCTTAGCTACCAATTGGAACTAAACTGAGTATTTTGAGCATGTTTGACAATTTATATGCAAAAAAAAAAAAAAAAAAAAGTCTCACAACTGATCCTATACCCACAGGTAACAACTGCACAAGGAAATGTGTTCCATTTCATATGACCACAGAAGTCAGCCATCTTTAGAAGAATGGTTGCAGAATACCCAAAATACCACAGAACACCCACCCAAAAATGATTGGTTAATGCCAATGAATTTCTACCCTCAACTGATATGAAGGTGGAACATTTGTGTCCTCTGTTCCGTAGTTACTAGGCCAAGTTTCACAAAGTACCAGAAATAAGTCCCAAACTTAATAATTTATTAGTTAATCTCTTTCAGAAATGAAAAAATTAGCATGGGCTACAACCAGTAAATCAAGTGAAAAGCCACAACCAATCTACACTTTCTATTTAAAAGCTTAAGGAACTACAAAGAAGAAAAGGTAACGGTGATGAAGATGAACACACAAATCAGATGGTCCTTCTATGACATTAACCCTTCAATAAGTAATAAACAAGGCAATGACCTGTTTTGAGATGGAGGAAGTAGTTATAAACACACTGTTTATGAGCAGACAGGCTCCAAGGCAAGACTATATAACTAAGAAAGCCAAACAATGTCCATGCTTCACTGCCTTCATTTGCAGAAAAATGCAGGTTCACAGGGAGAACTTCTCTTTCATTCAAAAACCTCAAGATGCAATAACTAAACCTTTTATGGGAATAAGAAAATCATTTGCCTGCAGTTTTTTCTCCCCAATGTAGCCATTATGTTACATAAAAAAAATCCAGACAAAACCCCTATTCACACTTCTGTTCAGACTCATCTATAATTCAATCTACATAAGAACCTGAACACAATGAAATGGCTTTAACTAAGCCATTACACACACTACATCTATGCAAAAGACAGCTCATTTAAAAAACACTTCATAGAGTTGAAGGGTTGCCAGAAGTGAAGTTTACATGTTCCACTGACTGTTTGGAGATCAGGACAGTTTATGGGGACAGGAAAAGTGGAGCCAGTAAAGTTACTGTAACAGAGAGGAAGCAGGGAAGGAAAGGTAGTTGAAAGAATTATGAAATCTCAATTTCTGATACAAATAGCACTGGATGTTTCGAGTTCCATTCATAAAAATGAATCCCTTTTTCATAACACATTCATACCCAGATTAACTTTCATTACAATGAATGAGAAGATAATAGATAGGATGTAATGAAACTGGAGTATGCAGTTAAAAGAAAATTTTTAAAAAGGCCTTTCCAAAGAGATTTCAGGCTAAGGGGACAGGCATGGAACATCCAGCTATCTGGGGAACAACACAAGATCATACGTCATTTACCTCACCATAGCACGTATGTCTCTCACAAGTAGAAACCTCCTCTGAGCAAGAGACAACAAAGACATAAGGCTAAACGAATCCCACCACATATTTCATCTCTGTGCATTTATCCAGAGGCATCACTGTCCTTTAAAGCAAAATCATCATTAACCCAATTCAAGCGCCAACATCACTGAGACCTGAGCCTCAGCACTGAAATGCCAATACCAATCAACTACCAACAGAAATAAACCACAGACTTGATATTCACTATATTTGGGGAATATATCTGGAAAGTCCAACTGGCATCAATTTCAACAATACTTCATCAATGCTAATTCATACAGTACAGAAAAATAGTCATTTGCTGCCCCTGAGGAGGCATCCAAGTGGACTGAGATAGCTCTCAAAATCATTAAGAAGGAACAAACTGGATTCTCATCCACCAAACCTGAAGGATGTCTTCACCAAAGCTTCTGGGCTATCCAGCTGTGGCAATTCATCTGCCAAAATTTCCTCTGGGGGACGGGTGTCCTGGACAATCGTTGGCCGTGGCTTCTCCTTGACATTCCCAGTGAGACCATCAATGAAGGAGTTCCACAGACAGTTCTGTGACTTAGACCCTAAGAATAAAAGAGAAATGAATCACAGCTAACTGTGTGCTTATCATCACCACTCAAGATATACCAAGGAAGAGCAGGAGATGTAGATATCTCACATCACCACCGACATCACAGGGCTCCAAAAGATGCTTGGCAGGATATTTGTAGATAATCGAGGAACTTTTCATTTATTAGTGCTAGCAGAAGACAGGCTAGCATTAGATATATAGAATTATAGTTGTTCATTGTGGGCATCCGGTGTCAGTACAGAGGGATCAGCTCCACATGTTGGGTGGGACCACGTGCATTTATGAAGAAGTGTGTTCAATAATAGTACTGCCATATTACAGAACAGAGGAATTTTTAGACACAAGTCTCCCCTATGAGTTCAGCTTGCCTGAGACCAGGTTTTGACACACCATTCTAAGGAGATACCTATCCAAAGAGTACCCAGCTCTAGAAACTATAACTCACTATCAAGCTGTATTCTTCCACAATATCAAAATTTGAGAAAGGCTATTTTGCATACCGATTGACTGACAGTCTAGTCTGCAAACATGTCAGACATGCAAGTTATGTGTAAAAGGTAAACATCAGGTAAAGATGAATGATGTCATGGTGTAGAGTTGAATTGGCTGAAAGATGAATGTCAATATCACCATGCTAACTGTATGATGCTGTGATAAAAAGATCTCTTACAATTCAAAGAGATTAGAACTTTTGCTAGACCTCAGAGCCAGAATTAAAAATACACCTGAGGTCACTTAAGACTTAAGCCTAACTTACTGTGTACTCAGCCCGTTGTTTAACCTGCCTTGGAGAGAAAAAGATAATAACCAGCCTTACTTGCCTTGGATTTCCCATGTAATCAACTTTCTTAACCTAAGCTAAAGCATGACTGTGATCTTAACTCACACTCTCTTTCATGCCCCTGTCTCAGAGAGTGATGCGTATGTGTATGCATGTCATGAAAATCATTTGCTGAAAACAGAAAATAAAATAAAAACAGCCTTATAAAATTAATATCCATTATAAATGTTGGCTACAACATATGAATATTGCTTGATAAACAATGATGATTATAATATCGTTTGTTATCTGGGTCTGTTGGGGTCAGTTAGGGTCAGTGATTTAATCTCTTGTAAAATTCTGTAAACTGGTCCTTATTCCTTCCCCAATATGATACTTTCTGTGCTGTTTAATTAAAAAGAGAGCAAAGCCCTTTGTTAAAGACACCCACATAAGCACACATGCACACAAAGACACAGAGCCAGGAACAGATAGATCCACATGACAGCATTCATAGAGGCATAGATTCAGACTGATACAACAGACAGGGAACAACAAAAGACACATACAGGGAGAAAAAGTAAAGTTAAATCTGGGTTCACTCTTGGTTAAATTATATCAAGTAAAAGTGCTTAATGATTCTTTTTCAATATTGCAACACTGATTGGTGACTCTGAGTTTATTATTAATGTATTCAAGCCAATGCACTAATAAAACACAGCCCTGGCAGGATGTGACAAAAAATGTTCCTCTACCTCTTCTAGCTCTTCCATAACAATATGGAATCCCTGTCTATTAAGCATGGATGTAGCATCTGGAAACTCTGTGCTTCGACATCTGCCCTTCTGCCCCTTTATCATCCACCAACATCAACTTCCTCTTTACTGAGCTTTCATGTTCCTCGTCTCTATTTACTGCCCTAATAACCCCAACTCCCTAATCACCCAGGGGACAGGTCACATGGAGTTAAGGCTAAGCAACGCTTCTGCTCCATTGACCACAGAAATCACTCAGTCTGGCCAACCCTGTGACTGCTTCTGTGATCTTATTTCTTCCTCCCACAGAAACCCAAATCACAGTCCCCACTCACAGGAGCCTCTTCTCCTGCATCTGCCCCGTGATCCAATGTTTCCCCATATTGCCACATTGGTATCTATGAGTATAATGACAATTGTCTATACAATGTCAGTTCTTTCCTAATCTGTTGATTTCATCATTCTAAAAAAATAAATAAAAACTGTTAAAATACATAGACTAATCATGGGATAAATATCAGACATCTGAGTTGAGGAGCCTTTTACAAAATATCTGCCTAATATTCTTTAAAACTATCACAGTTACATAGCATGGAAAACCTGAGAAACTGCCATTGCCAAGAGGAGTATAATGGACATCGCTATACTATAACATGATTCTATGCAAAAAAAGATCTAAATACTATTTTTACTGCAGTTAATGAAAACATGTTAATATTGATTCATTATTTTTAAAATATATGTCATAGTAATGGAAGAGGATAATAACAGAAAAAACTAGCTGTGGCTTCTATGCAGTCTTCTTATATTATTTTATAATCTTTCTGTAAATTTAAGACTACTTTAAAACTAAAATTATTATAAAACTAAGTAAATAATTAAAATAGTAAGCCAATAAATAACTTCATGAGAAAAATCTTTAAGGAAATCTAGATTTTCCTCATTTATTTTACCTGAGAGCTAGATGCTTAGACAGTGACCATTAGCTCACACGGGTTATGCTCTTCACAAAAGAAAGATTTTTATATTTGCACCAAGACACTGTCAGGTGGTGCAGTCTTGCTCCTGAGAAATTGCATTCATCTGAGAAAGCTTGTCTTTTAACACTCCACCTATCAGAGGAAATGCTACTCTGATTCAACAAAGCCTCTTGATGGACCTTAAGTAATGTACTGGGAGGTGTCTGAGATACATCAGCTATGCCCATGCCATGACAGAAAGATAGAGAATAGGCATGTATTCTCACAGAGATATTTAGACCCTTGAGGACCCTAACCAGCCACCTGCAGCCCTTCACAGAAGAAATACTGGCTTGCTGTGTCTGAAGGATGTCTTTTGACATTAAGGTGAGAAGAATAGCACCCATCTGAGGGAAAGTGTCTTGTAAGGCTCCTTGAACCTTTATCAAGGACACCCATGACAGCAAATAGTTCTATTAATAACCATTGTCATCCATGGTGATCCCCTTAGAGTGTCTATTCTAACTGCTTTCATATCAGTCAAGAGCACATTAGGAACAGGAAACAGACTCACGTGCCTCTGAAATACAGAAGAGTTTTGAAGCCCTAACCATATATCTTAATATGATCTGGTTTATTAATGAAGACTGGTTCTATGTTAATTATATGTTAATGAGGCTCTGGCTCCAGGAGAAAGAACAAGAACAGCAGCTGCTACATAAAGGTCTTCCAATCAACTTCCTGGGCATTTTTCTCCATTCTTTCATTTTCTCATTCAATAAACATGCATTAAATTTCATCAGTGTGCCAGATCCCATTCCAGACCCTAACACAGAGAGATGAATGAGGAGTTACGGATGTGAAAGGAAGTATTGGAAATCTTCAGTGGATCCTATTTATAGCTCTGACCAGACTTCTTTTTAATTTACTGGTGTGTCTTTGTAGCTCTGACCACTAGCACTAAACAGAAAAACACCATTGCTAGAAAGCAAACAAGGTAAAACAGGAACCCAAAGAAGGTTCACCTACGCAGCCTCAGGGACCTGGAAGAGAAACAAGGAAACGTGACATAGGGCATGAGTCTAAGGCCAGAGCAGTGTAGCAGCCAATCGAAAAAAATACATGCAGCAGCTCCAAGGCGTAACAGACCCATGCATTGAGGCTGGGACAGAGATGGGGATGTTGTCTAGAGGAAAATCCAAAGGCTTCCTGGGCTCTTTATAAAGTTGCTAGAATAAAATGGTAATAGCCAAAAAATGAGCAAAGGGTGTTTTCGTAAGGTTGCGGTATCCTATCTATCTTTCAGGGAGGAAACTGGTACACTGCAGAGTGGGGCTAAAGGAAGGTCTCCACGAAAACACACAAAGGTATGCTATGTGTAAGCAAAATAGCAAAGCTTAAAATGCATAAATGACTAATTCTTAAGTATAAAAAAATGAATAAAAATTCATAATAGCTTTCTACCATTTTGGTGAATCAAAAGGATCATAAAATCTAAGCCATTCTCTGTCCAGGTCCTGAGGGGAGAAGCAGTGGTGCCTCCAAAAACTGCACCAACAGAGAGAGGCACAGTGACGAGTTTAAAGGCAGATACAGTTAAGATCGACAAAGAGGGCTCACCTAACTTTCATCAGCAACTCGCAGATCACCTGCCTTCCTCTCAAAAAAAAAAAAAAAAAAACAAGGAAACAATATAAACTATTCCCCAGCTTTCCTTGCTGCTGTAGCTAGCTTTGTATTGTAATTCTGCCCCAATTAAATATAATTGGAAATTCCCAAGGTTATCTCTTTCTCAACAAAAAGTTCAAATACTTAATACTTTAAATTTCCGTTCCCCTCGTTTCCCTTTGTTCCTTCTTCCAAAAAAGTGAAAATAGTATTTGAGCTGAGATCATCTTGTGAGAATGAGGTAATAAGCATTATAACAGAAGGCCACGTCTTGCAAGGGTAGTTTGGGAAAACAAAAGAATAAAGTAGAAAAAATTGGAAGTGATAGTTGATTAGGCACAGATGAAGAAGAAGAAAAGGTCAAGACAGAAGCACTTTCTTTCTGGACAGCCAGGTAGATAGAGGTGCCACCTGACAACTCTGGGGCAGAGCTGCTTTGATACTATAGTGAAGGAGTTCTCTGAAGGGTTGTCCTCCAAAAACAATTATGAAGCTTGAACATGAACATGGGAGTACAAGTGGAATATCTTCTCAGTAAACATTACCAAGACAGCTGTCATTAAGATGTTCACATTATGAAGTAGAATAAAAAAAGGCCTTTCTAACAAACACAAACAAAAAGTTAGAAAGCAAAATAACAAATAAACCTTTCAAGGGAACGTCAAAGCCCATTCTGGGGTATTCTAGCCATTTTCTCACTTCCACAAGCTACAGTTAAGTAGAACTTGGGCTCCATTCATCCATGAAGATTTAGCTGTAAGACCTCATCTAAGGTACCAACTCCAGGGAAGCTGGTGGTATATGAAAGCTATAGGATTGTTTTAAATTTCTCTCTTAATTTCCTTCAGAA